TAGTTGAAAATACAACAGTTTGATTTTATAAAATTTTCAACTTTTCTTTAATTTCTTGTATTTTTTATTGGCTAGGAATCATGGAAGTGGAGATGGAAAATTCAACATTGAGTGTTACTGGTGAATCATCTATACCTGGCTCTGATGTTCAAGAACAAAACCCTGTATCTTCTGTTCAACCAACTTTGCCCCAGCCAACTCAACCTGTTGTTCCACCAGTTATTAATCCTGTCGTGCCTCCTCTGGCTCCAATTCCTGTGGTTCCTTCTTCTCTTGTCCGGCCTCTGGCACCGCTCCCAGTCCGGCCACCGGTTATTAAGCCACCAGTGCCACAAAATGGCGACGTTGGTTCTAGTGATTCTGAGTCAGATGGTGATGATGGACACACCAGAATTAATAAGGGCACTGGCGAGTATGAGATATCAGAAGAGAGTAAACTGGTGAGGGAGCGACAGGAGAAAGCGATGCAAGACCTCATGATGAGAAGACGTGCTGCTGCTCTTGCTGTTCCCACGAATGACATGGCAGTGAGGGCCCGTCTTCGCCATCTTGGTGAGCCGATTACTCTCTTTGGTGAGAGGGAGATGGAGAGACGGGACAGGTTGCGGATGATTATGGCAAAGCTGGATGCCGATGGTCAGCTGGAAAAGCTAACGAAAGCTCTTGAGGATGAAGAGGCCGCAACTTCTGCTCCAAAAGATGAGGCTGAGGATGATCTGCAGTATCCTTTTTACACCGAAGGGTCAAAGTCTCTCCTCGATGCAAGGATTGATATTGCTAAATACTCTTTAGTAAGGGCTGCATTGCGTATTCAACGTGCCCAGAGAAGAAGAGATGATCCAGATGAAGATGTGGATGCGGAGATGGATTGGACATTGAAGCAGGCTGCGGATTTGAATCTTGAATTCAGTGAAATTGGAGATGATCGACCACTTACTGGTTGCTCGTTCTCCCGGGATGGAAAAGGGCTTGCTACCTGGTATGCCCTTTTTGTAAATTGAGCAGCTTAAGGTTTAATTCTCCGTCTTATTTACCTCGTGAAACCATTATAGTCTAATCTTCTAATGTCATTTTTCTTTCCTAGTTCTCTAACTGGAGCTTCCAAGTTGTGGAGCATGCCTAATGTAAAAAAAGTTTCTACCTTCAAGGGACACACCGAGCGTGCTACTGATGTTGCTTATTCGCCTGTGCACAATCATTTAGCTACTGCCTCTGCCGACCGGACAGCAAAGTATTGGAATGATCAAGGGTCTCTTTTGAGAACATTTGACGGTCATCTTGATCGTCTTGCACGCATTGCCTTCCATCCATCAGGGAAGTACTTGGGCACTGCTAGCTTTGACAAGACATGGAGATTATGGGACGTTGAAACAGGAGAGGAGCTGCTTCTTCAAGAAGGCCATAGTAGAAGTGTATATGGTTTAGCTTTTCATCATGATGGATCGTTAGCCGCGTCTTGTGGACTGGATGCTCTTGCTCGTGTATGGGACCTTCGAACTGGAAGAAGTGTTCTTGCACTAGAAGGTCATGTCAAACCAGTAAGATATCAAAGATCCCCCCTTCTCTTTCATCTATCTTTCTATCTGTATTTACATGCAAATTTTGTCAGGTTGACCATTATTGAACTTCATTTTAAGGTTCTTGGCATCAGCTTTTCTCCTAATGGATATCATTTAGCCACTGGTGGTGAAGATAACACTTGTCGCATTTGGGACTTGAGGAAGAAGAAATCCTTGTACACCATTCCTGCTCACTCTAATTTAATATCGCAAGTCAAATTTGAGCCACAAGAGGGTTACTTTTTGGTTACCGCATCGTATGACATGACAGCTAAGGTTTACACCTCCTATTTATTTCTACCTTAAATAACAATGTATTCTTGTACATAAATTTTAAGATTATTTAGTATTTTATTTTCATTTCAGAATCCTTATTTTATGTGTTGACTCCAGGTTTGGTCGGGCCGGGACTTTAAGCCTGTGAAGACACTATCAGGGCATGAAGCAAAAGTTACTTCTCTGGATGTCCTTGGAGGTAGAATTTATTTTTGTCTTATAAAGGGATTATATCCGTTGCTCCGATCGAAATACCCATTTTGCTTATTTGTGTTACTGTTTCGTTTTGTGGTTGATGTGTCTGTTTGACAGCACCTATGCTCTGTCCTTTGTCGTAAATGATCAATTAAAAGTTGTCTAGATATGTCTGAAATGCTAAGGAATATGTCATGATAGTTTGTTATGCTTAACTGACAATGCAAATGATGTGCGGAAAAGAGTTTTTATGAGGTGCACACAATGGACAATTGTCAATGTAAACTTCTATGTAAAATTGTTTGAAACTCAAAAATGCAAACCTAGTTTCCTTCTTGCTTTGGACCTAAATGCTGTCAAACTGAAAGGAAATCAAGAGTGGTTTTCATTTCCTTTACTTTTCATATTCCATCAAATGCTGAAAGTTCTGTGATTTTATTTTCATTTTACACTCCCATATGTGGCATATAGGTTTGAACCTGGAGTTTTGTATGGAGGTGCAAACACCTTGAGAATATTTTAGAAACATTATCATTACAAAAGGAAGAAACTAAACCACCAAATGTGCCAAAATTAGGAACATATGTACTGTATCATTGGCTGTTTGGCTTGGGACCTGTTTTTTTTCTTATGGGAAAATTTGTGTGCTTTGAAGGTCTTCATTCTCTTCTGGAGGATGATATATTGATCCTTTTATATTAAGCAACAAGTTTCTTGTTACACAGTATAAAAGCTTCATACAATAATCCTGAATTTGTCCATTACTTAGCAAATAGCATGGTTGGTTTGTGTCCATATTATTCTTGCTTGTATTGTTCTAATTTTGGCATGTTTTGTTATTTAAAACAGATGGTGGGTATATAGTTACTGTCTCCCATGATCGTACCATAAAACTGTGGTCCAGCGGCACTCCTAGTGAGCAAGCTATGGATGTTGACTAAGCTATTTTGGATGGGAAATACGATTTGTAAAAGGACCCCGGTGATAAGAATTAGATTTATCATTTTTGTTAGAAACAAAAGCTTAGCTTGATTCTCTAGCTTGAATTTTGAATGATTATAATTCTGTAGTATATTATGACATTGGAAATCTGCTATTGCTTGTTGTATTACATGAGTTTGACACAATTTAGTGACATAGGCTGAGAACGGAAACAATGGTATATTCTTTCTCACTTGATGCAGCCTGAGTAAATTGGTCTTATATTTATTGTTTTTATATTGCATGCATCCTGTACTTTCTCCTTTGTTTATTTTTTATATATATAATACATATTTCACTTGCCTAACATTTCTTTTATCTGCTCAAAAATTCCAATCCAGTACTTGTCTATTATTTTGGTTTGAATTTCTTAAAGACCACAACCAAAATGAAAAGCACGCATGCACCAATGCATAATTTATAAGACAAATGACTTATATTTGCTCACATAAAAACCCTTCATAAACAAAATAGAGAGCAGTTTTTATCATGTGTCGGCGTAGCCAGAAAAATTAACTTATTATATATGTCATCTTAAATTTCATTATTTCTAAAATATTCCTTTCACTATTTATTCTTTTTTTTATTTTTGTCAAAGTTTTTTTTACTATTAATTAGAGGAGTTTAAAATCAAAATTTCTGGTACACTAAACAAATTCTGGTGTAGGTTTTGGTCGCTTACCATAAATTCTTTATATTCTACAAATTTTCAGTTGTGATTAAACAGAAATTTTAAAATTTTCGATTGCGATTTATTGGAAATTTTAAAATTTCCATGTCATTTGTCAAAAGCTAACACACGTATTGGAAATCTACAAATTTTAAGTTGTGATTAAACAGAAATTTTGAAATTTTCGATTGCGATTTATTAAAAATTTTAAAATTTCCATGTCATTTGTCAAAAGCTAACACACGTATTGGAAATTACGCAAATTTACAGTATAATATATTTATCGGAAATTTGAAATTTCCGGATTATCAGAAATTTCAGTTATACTTAAAATTTTCGGTATGTCTGTAGATGAAATTTTATATCTTTACAGTTCTGAACACACTACCAAAAATTTTAAACTTTCGGCTTTTTCCACACATCAAAAATTTCAAATTTCTGATTTCTTATAAAGATGAAATACACTAGAGATTTGAAATATCTGATATCGGAAATTTTAAATTTCCGGTTAAGTTCATATGACTGGTAAAAAATTGGAAATTCAACAAAATTTCCGATAGTATGCCAAAAATTTCAAAAAATCCAATATATTTCAGAGACAATTTCATAAATGTGTCAAAACTAAGGAGTATTATGTATAATATGAATAATATAAAGGATGTCATCTTAATTCCTCACGTATTTAGTCAATTTATACACTAGCTCAACAAAAAGTTAAATAAATTGCAAAGAAATCTCAACCGTTCTATATTTTAAAATAGTTAGAACAAATGAACAAATTTGTCTCTTTTCATTTTCTTCAAAACTAATGTCCTCAAACTTGATAGCGGTAAAATAAACTTGGATTACTTGTTAAAAATCGGGGCATAGATTGAACCATTTTGTACAACATATATATGTTGTAAAAGATTTCCATGAGATTTTTAATTGTATTTAGTCTTGTGTATATATATTGAAATTGTATGATAAATAAAAAACCTTGTGTGCTGTTAAGAAAATCGTAAATAGTTTGATAGGTTTTCCAAACCTGATTAAAGTGCCTCTTTTTGAATCGATGAACCATAAAGTAAATAATATTAGGGTGTTACAAGAGTCATAATCACATAAAATAAAAGTTAACTTGTAGTGAAGGGATGACATATAAACTGTAAGGTTATTTGACATCTCCAGACACGTGAGTGTATTTGTTGAAGTTGATATTTTGGGATGCAAAGTAACACAACAAATTCCTATATCCAATTATACTATAAATGATTTTTCTACAAAACTGATTATACAACAATTCAGCCTCTCGGGTGATTCTCATCAGGCTTGGTTTTTCATTTGTACCAACCAGCAAGGAAATACCTCAGCAAGAAACAGAAACCGCACGCAATACCCTGATAAAAAAAATATAGTAAAGAATAGTTCAACTAACAAATTAGTCATATTGATAAACCAAAATGGTAAAAAATAAACAAATAAAAGACATGGGAATCATCACCTGGAAAATAAGAAGATATACACAAAGTGACTTCTCAGATTTCGGCCCTAAACTTCTTAAAAAGAAGTTAACAAGTGTTCCATCATTTGTTCCGGTCAGTAGTCCAGTGTTAGGGTCAAACCTGAATGAATTGGTGGATCACACATGAGGTTTCAACCAAACAACAAGTACATGCAAGATGCATGAAATAAACACCTACCTCGGAAGACGGTGACGTGGACATGGAATGTAGCCAGAAAGCTGGAGGTAAATGCATTCTTTGTCAGACAATATATTTACAAGAGTTTTAACTTGTTAAAAAAGAGATTCTGTTAGAGTCAAACCTGTGGTAGTGACAAGAGAAAGTTCAAAACTTGAGGCAGGAAGAAAATCAAGAGTGTTTCGCTGAAACAAAAAAATTAAATGAGCAATTATTGCTAGACAACGAATAATCATAGTAAATTAGTAATACAGGGTCATAAATCCCAGTGGAACAGTGTACCAATTTATACTGTTGTTTCTCTCTTGTTCATCTGCTTAAGGCTTACATTATAATGTTTAAAACAAAGCTCAGAAAGTTACATTACTTCAAGGAAGCATTCTGTTTTGTAATACATGATTTATGAATATTTATGGAAGAAGGAAAAGATTGAAGAAATATGAGGGGTAACAAGAGTTTTCAGGGGAATGCAAAATGGTTAATAAGATTATTTACAGTTCAACGTTCTTTTTGTTCATGGTTGAAGTGAAAAACCCAACAGTCCATTTTCTAAGCAGTGAGGTATCTTATCTATCATACAGAGAGAGAAGTGGTAGGCTTTCGCATAAAATGCTGCAAAAGTACTTACTCTAAGTGAAATTAGAAAATTGATTCACAAGTTTTAACTCGATAAGCACTGAAAACAGACAAAAGTGAAAAGCTAAATTAATACTTTTGTCAGATAAAGCAAGGACATACCTAAAATGGCCTAAAATACCAACCACGGCCATAGTCATCCCAGCAAAGTATGTATACGTATCACCAACGAATACTGAAGAAGGATACCTAGAGAGAGAACAATAGCTGTTATCAAACTACTCCCAGTCATGTGAAAATAAGGTTTTCAACAAAATGATATAAACTATTAAATACCAATTGTAAGAAAGTAAAGCCAAAGACGTAGCTAGCAGTGGCTGCACTAAGTAAATGGAGAATGCATGTGCTAGCTTATATTCAGGATCCGTTGACGCTCCAATTTGCATAATATTGTGTATCAGAATCTGCAAATCCACATTTTAAATAATTTTTTATGACTAAAGTACAACATATTTACTCTTACAAGCTTTTCGACTTACAGCATATGTGATAACCACCGTCTGTCCAACTTCAAGGCCGTTTAATCCAGCATGTATATTGATCGAATTTGTGCAGAAAACGGCCAATAGCCCCATGTATAGTTTATATATCCATCCTGCGTCATTAAAATAAAGTCGAGATAGTGAGATTTTAAAATAATTAGTACTTTTCCAGGTGTCATTTGCATAAAGGTATTGAAAGCGTACCAAGATCCAAAATCTCTATGCCAATGTGTGGTACAAGTGGTTTTGGTATAACTATAGTTGTGTGTCCAGCATATGCCATTAACAAAGGAAGTGCAGCAATTGATGGAAGTAGTAATTTTCTGTTCTTTTACATCGACATTAAATCAAAAAAGAAACTATTATAACATTAGTTGACACGAACAAACGGTGGAAGAAAATAATGAAAACTTTGTATACTCTATACTCACACTCTCCAAGGGACATCAAGGACATCATCAACAAATCCAAGCAATGTCATGAAGCAGATGCATGCTAAAGCAGCATTGTACTCAACAAGCCACTGCAAAATTATAGTTGCTGATATATTTAAATGCTCAGTTAAGATGCTAGTACTGTATCGAGCATGGCTTTAAATTGTAGTATTTAACTGCAATTGCAGGCAGAATATGAATAAATAACTTCGAGGCCTCCGTGTAGGCATCAGGACCTCAACTTTGACAGACCAAATCGGCCGCATTTTGCAGCAATATAAAAGATTGCAGCATAACCATAACCGCAGTTTAAAATTATGGTAATGTGTAATCAGATCAACATAGTCGTAAGTTACAATTATATACTTACATTTGAATCTGCTGTGAAGTTGAAATACTGAAATAAGATTGTCACAACCAAGAAGACAATACCAACAACTATACCCAATGATTCAGGTCTGCATAGGAAAATGTACCCTAGTCAAGACATAGTGATCTATTGACAATACACAGAGATCTATTGGCTTCAAGTTGAATAATTGCAGAAACAAATAGACTTATAGTGAATGATAAAAGAGAAAACATGTATTAAACTGAAAGCAAATCCAACCAAAACGCAGAAAAGACTCACACTTTAATATTGCCCTGAGGAGTACCCTTCTTGTTAATATCAAATCCAAAGAGATTCCGCTTAAGAACGTATCTAGATGCAACCGGGATCATTCTAACCGTAACGAAGAAAGCTGTGAGACTCAATCCAGCATTGATAATAATAGATCTTCTGAGGTCGGATTCGATAGTGAAATGGAAGAAAATGAGGTAGAAGTAAGGGATGGAAAAGATAGAGAGTTTGAGAAGAAAACCCCATTTGGGTGGTGCAATTGGAGGCCCGATTTGCTGTTGTTGGGCTTTGGGATCGGAAGAGGGTTCAGGGGTAGGGGTAGTGATGAGTCTCTTTCGTGCTCCCATGGTTGTTTGTGTTTCTTTTGTTCTTCGGAGGTTGGTTTCTGGGTTGTAACCTTAATCTGTGTTTTTGTTTGAAATTCGTCACACAACTAATGGGATGTTGCCAATTCATCAACAAAAGCCACCGTGGCGTTTTTTTTTTTTTACACCTCATTCACTCATAAGTGATTCATACTCTTATTTTTAACAAAAAATACTACATAAATACATCTACGTAGCAATTTACGGAAATATATTTCTAAACAGAGTTTTAATCTAATGCGCGTTAGACCTTCTTGTCTGAGAACATATCAATAAAGATATATCATTAGGGGTTTCAGTTAATTGGACTCGATCTAAAAAATTTCCTTGCATATGCCTCCAAGGCATTTTCTGACTTTCATTTAAATACTACTAGTCCTCCACACAAGGCTTTGTTATCTTCTGGGCAACCTTTGATATTACATTGATTACCTTTTGGATCTTTATTTCTTAGCAATTATGGCAAGACTATTCCGCCTCTCAGTTAGTAAAGAAGTTTTCTATTAAATGATGGATCGAAGTTGGATGCTTCGTTTAAAGCACATCTAGCCCTTTGTAAAAATACCAGAGTATTATTTCAGAAGATACATTTTTTTAATGGATCGATCAAATATATTAGCTTCTTTATTAAGTTACTGCAAGTCACCAGAAATTTCTTATTAAAATGAAAGAAGATATATCCTCTTTATCGAAAAGTGAAAGTGATTTTAGCACCTCTGACCACGCCAACGATAACGAAGACGATTGTTACAGTGTTCCAGATCTTTAAGAATAAGGTCTACTTTGAAGATTACCTATAATTATTGAATAAGATCAATTACTTTGATGAAGATAACATTCGTTATTATCAGCATTAAAAAGCTACATGTTATATAACTTTACTTTTATTTATCTTGTTGTAATCATAAAAGGTCGTGTGGACCTTCTTCATCTTTAAATTATTTGGTTTTTGGAACAATTATCAGGCCTTTTGGCCTATTGTCTATATATGGTTTAGGAATTTCTTAAACCAACCCTATATAATAAAAAACACCTTTAAAAAAATTCAAAAATATCATTCGGATATACATATTCGAACGCACCTTAAATCACATTTTCAAGTTGTTTTGGATATGCATATCCCAAATCTCCTTTTTTCAACGTTTTATTATTTAAACATTAGATTTAAAATGTCAAAGGTAGTTTCAAATATGCATATTCGAAAGTATCATTGCTATATAAGTTTTCTGCATGGTCACCCCTACCACTATTTCATTCACTTCCTCCCCCTATAACCAATACCCTCCACAAAACTTTAACCATTCTCAATCAATTTTTCGTCACCAAATCAAGTTTCATGTGTTTGATCATAGCAAAGAGAGCATATAAAACTGAAATTTAAGGTAAAATTTTCTCATTTCATCTCACATTCCTTGTATTGATGTTGATTTTAAGATAGAAAAAAACGTCACTTCGAATATGCATATCTGAATTCAACCTACCATAATTCGGATGTGCATATCTGAAACCATGTATGTTACAGAAACATAATTTTGTTTTAACCGAATTTATGTTTTTTGTTCGTGTTAGATATGGTGCACCCCGACATAAAACGATTGATGTCGTGATAAATAACATAAAGTTCACTCCGTTTGAGCTCATGAGCGATGACGATTTAGAGGTTATGTGGAGTATTTTTCAATGATACTCTTCTAACAGTCGATTAAGGTGGATGTGAAGTTTCAAAGATCGAGAGAAGATGTTATCAAAATGTTGCGACGTCCTCAACTTCCCATTTATAACAATATATAATGTTAAATTTCTGTTAAACTAACTATGTAGTTTTGATAATCTATGTTGAATCTATGTGGTGTTGCTTTGGTTTTAAGGAATTTGATTTTGTCTGTCTCTGAGATGAATTCGAATATACATATCCGCATTTGGCAATCAGGTGTCTTCAGATAAGCATATCTGAATCAAATTGATAAAATAATTGATCGTAGTGATTTCAAAGATGCATAAGTCACCTTATCTTCGTAACTAAGATGAGTTTGAATATGCACATCCAAAATCTAGGAGTATTTTTGATTTTTTACCAAAGACCTCCTAAAAAACATATGGATGAAAAAAGAAAGTCTCATAATTTTAGTAAATAATTATCTTTAAATTAAATTTTAAAAGATAATATTATTATTTTGTCGTAAATATACATTAATGTTTTACAATTTATAGTTTTTTGTAAATGAAATGTTAGAAAAAAAATTCCTAGCATTGTTATTTATGTATGAGAAATAATGTTGGGCATATCTCTTTATGGTGTTAGGTGTTAGATATGTTGCTTTGAGTGATTTTGTAGTCCATGTGGTTTGGTTTTTTTACCCTCCTAAACCATTGAATACAATCAATTTTCCTTAGTCGTTTAAATCTCTTTTGTATGATCTCTTAAGGAAAATGACCATAGTATGTTGTACAAGGATATCAAATTTTCCAAAATGAAGCAAACAAGACAAAAAGCAAAAAAACCCCTTTTTTAGGTAAATAGGCTTCCTCAAAAATCAACATTCTCTATAAGTTCAGAGTGATCAGTGCTTCAATTGCATATTCAAAGCTTCATAACGAGGCCGATTGGACAATGATCACTGCCAAAAACATCAGGGAGAATGTAGGAATCGTGAACTTTGTCCGCTATGGATTCTGAGACAAGGAAATAATCAAGACGCCATCCTGTTTAAAATTTTGAAACAAATCATTGAGAGAACAAAGAAGAGAGTTTATTTGAAAGGAATTCAAAGTCCATTCAGATCATTGATAATAATAATTAAGATATTAGTTCATCATTACGATTAGACGTAATTTTTTAACTAATAGAATCTACTACGAAATGAAACAGTATGCTATAAATACCTCTGTTAAACTTGCGGCCACCATGCCGATAACCCCAATAAGTATATCCAACAACACCAGGATGCTGCCTTCTAAAGGTATCTACAAATCCCTTTGACAACAAGTTAGTTTCAAATGATTTCCTCTCTTCATCTGTGAACCCAGCACTCCTTTTGTTACCCTGTGAATACATGTAACTATCAGAATAGCTTAAAATACTATGCTCTCCACAACTTACTCTAACTTTTGATTATTCATGATGTTATTGTTAGAACAAGATTTGATTCTGCAATATTATCTTTGAGTTTTGATGATAACAAATGAGTATGTTTGTGAGAACAATTTTGTTGTACTAATGTTTGTTATTGTTGAGTACTTAACAAACAGATTTCTGCTTCTGATGGATGGCGTGGCCAAGACATTAGAAGAAAATTAGTTCCGCTTCTGCGATACACAAGTTATGTTGAACAGTAACAAGATACTCCAGAAGGCTCTGAAGTGTACGCTCTGGTGTTTGTCCAAAGAAACCAGTTAAAAGATCTGAGTTAAAAGATCTGAAGACAGAAGTTACTACTTAAGTCTAGATGTGGAAGACTCATGTTTCAGAAGACAACGGGTTCTAAGGAAACCGTCAGAAGATCTGAAAGACAGAAGTTGCCGCTTAAGTCCAGATGCTGAAGACTCATCATATTTCTAAAGACTGTGTGTTCCAAAGAAACAAAGTTAGAAGATACAGCAAGGTAAAGTGGTTTCTTAAGAACCCGCGTTTCAAGTGAGACACCCCGTGGTGTTATTACTATATACACCAGTTCAAGAGTTTACCAAAAGTGGCAGATAATTGTGCTTTTATGCGGATTTGTAATTATAATGATATTAACGGGAGTGCTAATTTGCAATCACTTACAGCAGGATTGTATATGTCTATCTCTTCATGAGCACAATTTAGATCACCTGTCAAAACTACAGGTTTTGACTTTTCCAGCTCCTGTACCCACCAGAAAAATGAATCGTGAATCTTATAGAAAATCATTTATCCAAAATGAATATTATAAAGTCAAATGGAAAAAGGATGTAAAACATAATGAATCAATCTGCAGAATAACTTGACAGTGAGTTTAATTGGACGAGAAGTAACCATGTTTCGAATTCCCAACATCATTAATAACTTCACAACGAGTTTAATAATCAATATAAAAAGATTTAAGTATGTTTTTAGTCTTTATAAAATACCTTCTCATTAAAGTTTAGTTCCTACAAAAAAAATTGAGTCCTCTGTTTGGTGATTTTAGAGACTAAATATAGATGCAATTTTTCATGAGTAAAACTGTCAAACTAGTCCCTGACTATGTACAGCACTCTCAAATGGCCCCGAGGGTATAAACATTTCTAAAAAGGTCCCTGACTCTATTAAAGTGTGAAATTGGTCCCTGTATTTAGCCACTTACTATCAATTAGGTCATTATGTTATAACCACTTACTATCAATATGGTCCTTGTATTTATTCATTTACTATCAATTTAGTCCCTAACCTTGACATCGAAGGATTAATAAAAATAACATTTGACAGGGTCAGGTACCATTTTGAAATATGTACATATTCATGGACCAATTTGAGAGCGTTGATATTCGTAAATGTATAATGTTAAGAATATTTGTACGTAGAATAGTCCCACATCGATTATATCGTATAATTAGTTGTAATCTCTCTATATATAATAAAGTCTCTGTAATGCTTTCAAAACACATAGTTTAACCTAAACTCAATATGGTATTTAGAGCCTTCTAAGAGGCAATTCTTCGCCGTGCTTTACCCGGTTGACCCACTATTTTCCGGTGAGAAATTTTCTTCTGTAAACCGTGTCATCATTCCGATTTGTCTCACCTTTTTTTTTTATTCCAGCGACCTCCACCGTCCCACTGCCCACGGGAATTTTTTTTTTGGGGACTACTGTTCACCGCCACTGCCACTGTTCACCACAGCCGCGATCCACCCTCGGTTTCCGTTTTCGACTCACAAATAGTCGTACTCTTGTTCAAATAGTCCCAGTTGTTGTGTTTTAAACCATGGGAGATGTTGATTTTGTCTCGTTTACTAAAGTTCCGCTTATCCCATGTGGAAA